GATATTCGAGTGCAGTATATTGTATTTTGTTATATATTTAATATATATTGTATTTTTGTAACAAGAACCAATAGACGGCTAGTATAATATATTTTATTACATACTTACTTACATGTTACGAGCGTTTCATGACGTGCTTATGAAATAATTATTTCGGATAAAACCGGCTGGTACGTTAATTGCATAAAAAAAACGTATTCTTTTATGTTGTTATTATACGCAGTCATTTTTATTTAAATACGTCCGTGTGTAAGAAAATAAAACAATCATGGTTTAACAATTAATTACAATAGGTGTATGAAATTGGCTGACCATCGCCGCTTTAGTTGTCGTCAGAGCCCTACTTAGGAATTTTGGGGCCCCGAGGATAGTTATTTGGTGATGCCCCTCCATGAACTACCTAGACTATGAATTTATTAGTTTTTGCTGTATCGTTTTTTCTATATTCAATATATTTTTAAGATTGTAAATAAATTATACCATAAGTCTATAAGTAATTATTCAATGTTGATTGGTATAAATAAACCGTATATGACTGTATAACAGCATTATATGAGAGCCCCTAATTCTGTCAGGGCTCGGGGCTGCAGTCCTTCTAGCACCTACATGAATAGGGCTCTGGTTGTCTTAGAACATTTAATTCGAACACATTTAATACATATTATATATTATACAAAGGCAATGTTGGATAAATTTTCAATTGGAGAACGAGGAAAATTAGTATAAAGTGTCCATTTTTGGAAGCCCTGGAATGTCGGGAAAAATATCGCAGACGCCTTAAGCTGCTGACTCCGTCTGGAGCGTTGTTGCTGCTGCTCTGGACTGCAACTTCCGGAAGTAGACTTTAGTACTGGACGGAAGCGTCCGTGGCCACAAGTCCCGGATATGGCACTAACGATTGCGGTTACTTGAGCTCCTGACTACAAAGTCTAAAAACAAAGTTTACCTATCCTTTTGCGATCAATTTGTATGCACAATATTATCATTCACAGGTCTTTCGTTTCTCAGGGATACATCGAAGGAACACATCGAAGGGCTGGCGTTGAGTCACGGTTTTTGATATATCTGAGCGCCTTCAGTCGTACGAATTCTGTACTAGTACCACTTTGTATAAATTCGTACAGATAGGGACATAGGGTACATAGAGGAGGATGGAATAATAAAATATTAAAATATTTTGGTAATGGTTGGGTTGGGGGGTGGTGTAAAGTCTTATCAGCTGATCAGCTGAACAGGTCAACGATCAATTGGTATTAATAATGGTATGATGACCAAGATAACTGATAGGCATTGTAAATTATAATATTATACCTATTATATGTACGGTGTTCCTATAAATATTGTAACATCCTGTTTTCTATGGTTATACGCACACAATCAGACGTATTGCCTCTTCTTTTTGCCTATATTTAACTCCTTAAAAATGAATACTTCGAAAATCGGTTCAGACTAATAATTACGCACCAATATTATAATAAATTGTTTAGTTAATCAAAAAATAGAAACAGAAAAGTCCAAGTACCATTTTCAAAAGTATTTAAAATACGTATTTGAGTAGGTGGCACCTATAGAGTATTTGAATACTTTTACTCAACGGCGTACTTTACAAGACTGTTTACTAGTGCTATTACGACACACTAAAATTCACCAGCTGCACGTTGCACCTAAATAGTAAATACATTTACATATGAAGTTATATTATAACATTGTATTCGTCCATCATCTCGATGATATAATATTATAATTATTTTTGTTTGCACGTTTCTTTCAGTAGCTGTGGCCGGACTCACATCCATACCTATAGATCTATCTCTTCCACCACACGCAGTGATAATATGAGACTATCCCAGTCAGCACCATATATTATTTAGATATTCTTTTTTTATACTAAATACATTCTAGATATCCAGATGTATATATGAATATCCATTGAACATTAGAATCGAATTAATCTATTTAACGAATTCATTAAATATTCTTAATATATTATAAAATTATCTCACTAGTAGTTTAGATATTAATGAATAGTATATATATGTACAATAATATAATTATTCTATATATATGCGTAGTTTATGCTCATTTATATTTAATTGTAATAATCATGGAATAATAGAAGAATATATAATTCATAATTATTGTAATAATATACTTACCCATACCATGGTTATGTTAGGTTGATTAAGCAATTAGTACGTGATAAGGTCGTGTTTAGACTTATGAGTTTTGACTGTTACAGTGTTACAGTACGTTTAACGTGTTTAAATGAATGTAGAATGTTTGATGAACGATTTAATTTAATTAATAGTTGTATACTTAGTTATGATTTAAAGTTAATGTCATTCCTGTTTTAGGTTATGTCATTACTCTTTATAGTACGCGCGGGTAAAATACTAAAATCTACTTTTTTTTGTTTCGTAACGTGTTCGATATTATTTATTTATTCAAGCTTGCGAGTGCATCTCCTGTATTATAGTGCCATCTGCGCCGGGTGTTCGTATTACAGCTTTCCTATATAGTAAGTATTTTATTGCATCTATTTTATTTATTTTACTTTGATGTGGGTACTCAATCTAAATAATTTTTAATTTTTTTGTCTGACAACAAGGGCACCTATTAAGGAGTGCAAGGGTCACATGTCACCCCGTAGACAAAAATGTGAAAGTATTATACTTCATGACTTTTCACATAGATACCTAAATCGTTTATCTTTGCTGTATACTTGTATATTTATTTTCTGTTATTTAATAAGAGCAATTTTGTTAGTTCCTAGCTTTTTTTAATGATATTGTTAGATCCCTAGGTTTTGATTGATGGGTTCCCTTGTCTGACAATGTATCTTTTTATTTTATTTTTTTTTAAATAGATTACAATTTATAAAATATAATTTAAATAGGTAGTTGGTCACTTTTGTGAAAGTGAGAGTTGTTATGCAGCTAATATAAAGTTAATATACACACATATGTAAAAAAAAAAGTATTCATACATATTACGCATAATTATTAGTGTTGACAAGTAACTTAGTTTTTTTTATTTGTCTAAGATTCTGTTAATGTACCTACCTATTATACTCTTAGGAAAATATGAATGGTGTGAGTAACTACTATATTAACTATTTTTTTAATTAAGCATATTTTAAAAGAAGTGCATCAGCAAATTTAGTCCTATTAATTTATAATTAGATACAGATAGTATTTTACTTGTGTAACTTGTGAGGAACTTTCAAAAATCCAAAATATGTTTGCAATTTAATTAGAAATTATGGTGTAAGCAGAGGTACATAATAATCTAATTCTTAGGCAACACAAGTTTATGATTGTATATTTATTGAATTTATTAATTAATTTTTATTAGGTATATTTGCTTATATTTATGAACAACTTATATTTATGAACAAATTTAATTTCAATATTTTGTATAATATATTTATAGGTACAAGGTACTATGAACCCTTTAAAAACATTATTGGTCATTACTCAGTTTTAATTTCATTATAATTAGTGTTGTTTTCGTTATGCTGTATCTACATATTATGTACCTACTTAACAAGTTAATAACTGATTATTGAATAGGTACACTAAAATAAAATAGATACATTTAAACAAATACCAATTAACATACAAAATTAAAAAACCTTAAATCCTAGAAGTACCTACTATTTTTTTTTTGAAGGTGCTATACGATTAAAGTATCCCGACTTAGCTGACAAAAATATTGAAGGAATTCAAGGAGTTTGGTTAGCTAAAGCTAAAGAAAGGTTGAAATTTATGCTAGAAAACACAGCTAAAGCTAATAACGACTGTACTACTTAATTTTTTATTATATTATATGTAAAATATTATATTTTCTGGTTACATTAAATTTATATTTCAATTTTTATAACTTTGTAGAGAAAACTATTAATTCATCTTTATGTATATTATATAATTTTTATTCCAAAGTTGGTTATATTAAATTTATAAGTTATAAATAGTTTTCGTTTAATAATATTAAATTTATATTTTAATTTGTATAAGTTTGTAAAGAACACTGTTAATTATTCATCTTTATATATATTATATAATTTTTATTCCAAAGTTGGTTACATTCAATTTATAAGTTATAAACAGTTTTCGTTTAATAATATTAATTCATTTTTTATTTTTTATTTCACTGTTTGTATTACATTACATTTATAATTATCATTAAGTTGATTACATTTATGTTGTTAAACTTAATAAATGAGTTTCAAGTTTGCAATTGTTATTAATTGTAATATATTATATGCATATCAAGAAGGATATATGCATATCCGTAAGGATAATTCAAACTTATTTTATGCACTTGGTCAATTTTTGTTATACCTATCTAATTTAAATTTAAATTAATCACAAAAATAAATATACATTGTACAAGATTGTTATGTTGTGCAAGGTTTACAATTTTTGAAATTTTCAGACATCATTCTCAAAGTTAATATGGAAAATTCTGAAATATATATATACATACAATTGTATAGGTACTAATTAAATATGTACAAGTATTAACTATGGATAATTTTTGAATATTATACATTTATTCGGCAAATATATTCAATGAATATTCATTTATTGCATAATGAAACTTCTGAAAACATATACAATGGATGTTTATAGGTGGAACATTTATTTATTCTTTTAATCACCTTTGGTGATATATAGTATGAAATCGGATAATCCCAGAATATGCTGTCCATCCTACAACTATATTCTTGGAATATATCAAGAATAAATTATTGCTAACTGGGATAGGGGGACAATAGGTTTGAACTTGTTCGTCTACACAGAGGTCAGAACAGGTGTCGGCGATGGTCTAAGTCTTAGATTCCAAGACGTGCTGGTAACACGAGAACAAAAAGTCTTCACGTAGGCATTTGTCCGAAATCGTAGGTAGGTATATGAAAACTATTTCTTGTTATTACTTTACGCAGTAATTTTTATTCAATACGTTCGTGTAAAAACAATCAAATAAAACAATCATGGTTCAATAATTAATTACAATATGTATATGTATTTATAGTTTTCTGAAATTGACTGACAACCCTGTCGATCATCGGTACTGCGAACGGATCGCCGCGGTGTTCAGCCGTCGTCGAACATCATGGCACAAATATAGATTATACAAAGGCAACGTTGGATGGATTGTTAATGGAAGAACGAGGAAAATAAGTAAAGTGACCATTTCCGGGAGTAAGGAAATGGCGGGAAGAATATCACGGACGCATTAAGCTGACTCTTCGGCCGGAGCGCTGGTGCTGCTGCTGCTCTCAACTGCCACTTCCGGGGTGGAAGTAGACTGGACGGAAACGTCGGCGGCGGCGGCTTCGGCTGTGGTGACAGATGCAGCGGCTGGCGTGGCAGTGGATGACGACACGTCGAAGGGTTGGTAAGCGGCGGCGTTGTTGCCGGCCACCAATCCTGGGTATGGCACGAACGATTGCGAGTACTTGAACACCTGGCTGTGGAGCGGATGGTCTAGGGACGAGATGGAAAGCGGTATCTGGCTGGATTGCACGACCGTCTTGGTGAGCGGCGTCAGTGTGGGTGACCCTTCGACCAAGTAGCCTTGTTGGAATTGGGATCCGAAGTTGCTGAACGCGGACTCGGGCGAGTACGAGGCCAGTGAGGCTTGAGATGCCCACTTGGAAACGGACGGGTGGCTGTAGAACTTGTAAGTGTCCAATGGCGCGGCGGCGCTGGACGGGTCATATCTGAAAAAGTTAGGTGCGATTTGCAGACGTCAGAGGAGGCACAATAAGAAAATAATTCACAACAACGTGAAAACGTGAACCAGGGGTCGCAAAACGGCGGTCAAATTTGATCCGGCCCTCAGACGAAAACAAAAAGTAATGACCACAGCTAATATATAAAAATACTAGATATGCTTCAGCATTGTCATTGAAATGGCTACCATCCTTGTTTATGAGGTGAATATTTATATGTTGTAGGCATGATATTGATACTTCTATATAGTATGAAAGTCTGGGGGTCATATATATATTTAATCGTGATATGTATACGTATCTTATCACCTAACGTATCAGTTTAATTTGTAAACAGTGACCTCTTACAATAAAGATTGGTAAGTAGCCCTTTTATTGGAGACATTATTTTATACGTATCTGACCATTGAAGTCAGCAATCTAGTATTTTTATATATTATATGTGGTAAAGACCAACAACATTTTACTTTTTAAAGTGTTGTAGATATTATCGTTTTTGTTCGTTGGTTTTTACCGACGTCATCAGTCTTAATAGCTCTCGAACAATTTCCAGATTTCTAATGTGACTTTTAAAAAATATTAATATTGGTGACCCCTGACTTACACGATCACTTTAGTATATGTATATATTGTACAATGTAATAAACTCAATGGTATTATAAATTATAATATTATAATCATACCACTGTACTTACATGGCTCGGAAGTTATTGCATTTGTTTATATTTTTTATATGGGATCATTAAAATATGTATTGCTGAATAATAATATGTATGTATATAATTATATAAATCTATTACAGCGTTCAGGTCACAACATTTACTGTACTAAAATTAGGTGATTTCATTGTTTGTCGAAAGTGCATAATATTTTCTAGTTTTACGATTTTTTTATGCATATTTAATAATTACTCACAGCAACTTAATACATTTGAAAAAAAAGTTTTTATTTTTTCGTACCGTGCGCAGAATGTATAAAAACAAGACCAACGTCTTTTTATTTATAGAAACCCGCGTCTATTTCCTGTGTTGGAAACTATTCAGAACACCGAAATTAAAAAGTTTTAAATGATGTGTATGTACAATTTTTTTTTAATTTTAATGTTATGAGAAAAATAGTTTCATAATAACAATGAGGGTTGATAAAATTCGTCCAGTTTTGTATGCTTTAAGATGATATAACTGCATGCATTTTATACAATGTGCGTTCAGTTCAGAGGCCTAAATACCGCTGTGTACGTTTCGACTCGAACTAAAACGTATAGATATAGGTATTATAAATACCTGGTGGAGTACCTCACGAATTACATCACTGTAGACACCTTTTATTATACATAAATGTGTAAGTATACTTACAACAAAGGCAACTGTCCGTTGAACGGGTCGTTCTGGACTATCTGGACGGAGTTGAATTTCGACTGTGTTTTTGGGGCGTCGGACAAAGGCGTTGCAGGTGATGGTGAACCGGAAGTTATTTGTTTCTCGTCGCTAGCGGTGGCTTTGTCTTGACTTTTGGCGTTGTTTCCACTTTCGATAAGGGTGGCGATTTCAGCCGAAGGATTGCTGATGGAAATACCCTGGGGGATGTTTGCCGCCGGGGTTGCACTGGTTCCTAAGACCTGTCCGGACTGTGATGGGACGCTTGTTGCGAAGTTAGCCGCGAATGCCTTGAGTTCTTCCTCCGAGAAACCGGGAGCATCGAAGTAGGGGTAGTACGACGGCTGTTGGGCACCGGCGGACTGTCCGAAGTATGGGAATCCGGAAGAGCCGAACTGACCAAGAGACGACGTGTCCGAAATGGGAACGGGCCCGAATTGAGTGTTCTGCAGTTCGACGGGTAGACCCGGCAAGTTCACTGTACAAGATCAAGGTAAACATTATTTTTATAGTTTTGATAGTTATAAAATATCATGTGAAATTAACAACGATAGTCATAAAAATAATATTTTTGGGCAACGATCTTTGAACATAATATATTTTAACCATAATATTAATAATATATCTGTTGGTGAATATACTGAATAGATTGTTCGTTAATCATCATGATTAGAGGGTTCTGACGTGATGGTTTATTATTAATTTATACGAATTTACAAAAAGTGCGGACATGAATAAAATATACCGCTGGGAGCTAAAGTGACTAATTATTATCGTACGAAATCTTAATTTATTTATGTAATCATTTTCAATATTATATATTAAGGATTATATTTTTTACGACAATTCCCACTAGACATAACATCGGTATAGTTTTCATGATCGATACCTATTGTAAATAAGATAACAATCGCTGCAACTCATCACATTTTTAATGAACTTATGCACAAATATTATTATGACTCATAAAACCGTGCCAACAAATATTAATCAAATTCACCGCGGCGTATTTACGAACTGGCATGTCGAACTTACCAGTTTTTTGTTTTTGTTTGTATTTGAACAATATAGTAATATTCAATTATTTAATAAGAAAATATAAACAATAATTCCAAAACGGTACATTGGCCTCATTAGATAATAATATTACGCACTGGAGGTGATCATCTTTGTATTAATTATTTGCGAATGCATTTCGTAAGTCATTGAACGCTAGCGGTCAACTCGCTGTTTCAATTGACTTTATAGTAAAATATAATAATGAAACAGACATGCGAGGAGTCTTATATATTATTATATATTATGCTGAACGGGATTGGGTTTTAATTGAATTTGAAATTACCGTATGAAATGTTTAATATTCGGAGACAACTGCAGTGGAGAATTGCTCCGAAATGACGAGGCATTTCAACGGCCGTGAAATAATAAAATTACTATTTTAAATTAAACTTTTTAATGTAATCTAATCATGTAGTCTACGTCTTGCGTAACGCGACTAGTGGTTGTCGTCATATGACTCAAAATGAAAATTTCAGTTTTATATAAAATGCACTTTTCCATAACTGTAAGTCTTTTACTTCAGTCTTGTTGAGGAATACTTTTCAAATGCATTTAGAATACGTATTTAAAAGTACTTAGTATCATAGGTATTTAAAATACGAATGTTGTCTTTCAAAAGTGTTGACGTGTACGTTCATCACGAATGTATATTTAAATGTAATAATTAATTCTTTACACTCTTTAAATTGGTTAAAAAATGTCAGATCTCACATATACCTATAGTATTGTGTCAAGTTAAACATTAGCTAGGTAGGTGGATATAAATTTTAGTTACCGTGTCATCTGTGCATTTGATGAAATCTCATACATTTTTAGAAGCATTATACAATTTTTTTTAAAGAGTAATTTTTAAAATAGTAAACACAGCGAAATTCAACGGTAAAAAGAAAAATGGTATTTAGTATTCTAGAAAAATATAAATACAAAGGAAAAGACACATGTTTAAAATAGACTTGTTATTTGTCAAAACTTATTTAAGAAATTTAATTTGAAATACCAAAATAGTATATTTAAATACAAGACGTATTCGAATACTTAAAAATACCTCAGTCTGTTATAGTATAGTATAGTTACGTATAGTATGGTTGGTTTTTATGTCTCATCTTTAAGTTATTCGAAAAATGTTCAAAGTCGCCAAAACGTTGTTATTGTGGAGTAGAATGAAAAAAAACCGACTTACCAGCTGCAGACCCAGTCTCGGGTTTGTTCTCAGCCGCCACTCCCTCGGATTTCGCCGGTCCGCTGACGGTGGACGATTCGCTGGGTTCGTTTGAAGCCTGGACAGGTGCGGCGCTGGAGGTATCCTTGACTTCCTCGGATACGACGACTGGGCTGGGTTCCTGGACGACTGCGGAGTCTTGTGTTTCCGGGACGGATCCGGTCTGCTCGCTTCCGACGTTGCTAGGTTCGTTACCCTCCGACGAAGGTGCGGCGCTTTGTTCTTGGGCCGGGGCGACGGCGGCGGAGTCCTGAACAGCGTTCACTTCACCGTCGATCGGTATTGAGACGGCGGGTGCTTCATTGTCGGTCGGTGCTTCAGAGGATGAGACCAATCCATCGTCAACCTGTACTGTGACGGCGGGTGCTTCATTGTTGATCGGTGCTTCAGAAGATGAGACCAATCTATCGTCGACCGGTACTGTGCCAGAGGGCACTTCATAGTTGTACGATAATTCGCCGGCGGGCACTTCATTGTTGATCGATACTTCAGCACTCGGCACTTGGGCGTCTGAGGAGCCACCGGAAGTGATTTCTTCCTGAGCGGGACTGGGCTGGGCGTCCGCAGCAGCGGGCGTCACTGCCAATGGTTCGCCTGTGACTTCCACGGATTGCTGTTCCACCGTTGCCGAATCGTCTTGAGCCGATGACGACGGGATGACCGCGGTAGTGACTTCAGCTCCTCCAAATTTTTGTTCGACCTTAACGGCGTTCACAGGGATGAGTGTAGCGGGTACGCTTTTTACCGACGGCACTGTGCTGACGAAAGGCTAAATAATCAAACCGTAGAAGACATATTAAAGCATTATGAGAAACAATACTTCATCGGTCAGTAATCAATTCCACTAAAAAGCGTATTTGTGGTTTATTTAAAACGAAAAATGCAGACCCTTGTAACTACCTATGTAGGCCCCATGTTTATCTCCACAGCCGTAACTAAGCCTTCCAATCGGCAGGAGGAGGGGGGGGGGGGTGTCGTAAGTCTCATCTAAAGTATATATCTTATTGGATGACTTTATACTTTTGTTTTTAATCATTCACACTATTGTAATAAAATATTTTCCAAGGAGGCTAAAATGTATAAATCAAACGGTCTACGGATATTTAAATATTGGGAATAGTCAATTTTTAACTTCGGAGATTTTGAGCACCCCCCCCCCCCCTCCCTTAGTTACGTCAATGTCCTTCTTATTTTTATATTTTGTTAATTGGGCGATATAACATGTGGTGATATGAAGCAGCTAGCAGCGGGTTAGGTAACATGATTCAACTGAAAATGTCATTGAACTATATTTTAAACAGGTAATAATTTAAATATAAGCACCATGATGAAAATTGTATTTTTATTTTATTTATACTACCTAGCTAGTATACCGTATACTTATACCTAAATGTTGATATCAAATTATAAAAATTGAATTGAACTACATTAAAGAGCACAGTGACGATTTAAAACCTTTTAAAATACTTCGATCGAGACATTCTAAACATTCATAAATGTATTAAACTTTTCAAATACCTATACTGATAAATATAAATAAATTTTTAATTTTTATATGATAATAAAAATACCTTTTTATATTTTATAGTTATTTAACAAAAAAATCTACCTTTATACTTAATAATACACTAATAACTAATAGTTATTTTAGCACCAGACATATCAAGTGATCTGATCCCTTTCTTCTTAAGAACCGGGCTGAGCAAGCAAATTTATAAATTACATTTTCCAATGTAAATTATACATATACGTAAATATATATATAAAAAAAAAAAAAATAAATGTAATCTAATTTTATACCTATGTTTTAAATTCTGTATACAAATTTGGAAAAACTAATAGCTTTAGCTGCTGAAGTTTAAGATCAATAATAATAAAAATTAAAAGTTAAAAGTTAATTACATTTCTCAAAATAGTTCAAGGGCGTATAACAGGATTATTTATCAAATTTTCATTACAAATGTTTCTGCATTTGTTAAATAGTCCTGCTACAGTCCTAGTGTACTAAACAAACATATTATATAGTTATAACTTATAAGCATTGCAGCTAAATGTTATTAATCTCATTATACCTATTACGCATTGTAAAAAAAATCATTTATAATGGATCGGCATAGTCATGACAGTGAGGAGGCGGTATAGGTCGACATGGAAGATTCCTATGTAATGTGATGTGAAAATTAAAATTGAAACCACAGTTTATCCTCGGCGAGTAAAAAAATATCAAGCTGATACATCACGTGAATTGCAACAAAAACTTGTTTTTCGTGTGACATACTTCTTAATAATCCTACCATAATAACATTATGCATCCATTATGGATGTGAATCGTAATAGAGAATTGAAATTCATATGAACAAAGACAAATTTATACCTACTCAAAACGAGGTACTCCCACTACGGCGTAACATTTATTTGAATCGTATAATTTAATGGTTGAAACTAAGAAGAAACAAAACCAAAACGAAGTCGAATAAATGAAAAAAACGGCCTTGTTTGGCAGTTATATTATCAGTGTTACACCATATAAGCAAGTAATAATAACGAGCAAGCTTGTATAAGCAAAATTGTACCCTTTAAGTTACATAACCCCTAAGAGTCCCAATGGGTCTAGAGGTACCTATACTATGAGTTAATAGGCACACTCGAGGGTCCTCTCCTGTATATTTGGATTTACTCACTGTAATATTCTATATTTTATTTTTAATAATTTATTTTAGCCATACCTGGACTGGTGGGAAGTTTGGTACTGGGTATCCGAATGATGGCGGAGAAGGGAATCCAAAGCTGGTTTGTTTAGGTAATCCGAATTCAAATGGCTTGCCTAATAATGTATCCTTAGGTCTTGATTGTTTAATGTTGTGTTCTGCAGGCACAATGGCAGAAGAGAATTCAGGTCCGTGGTATGCTCCAAATTGGTGTTCTTGGAAGTATTTGCCGGGTTGGTTGAAATCGGCGAGTCCTGGGAAATTTTTGTTGAATTTTTTCGCGGGTCCAAATTTGTATTGATTGAAGGCTGGCTGTGCCGGTGCTGGGAATGGTTGGAATCCAAATGGCTTGTGGTGGGGTTCATCAAAACGGTAAGCTTCTGGTCCTTGATAACCACCGTGACCGGGGTATACAACAGGCCCTGGGTAACCAGGATAAGGTCCAAATGGTTGATAATTGGCCCTAAATGGTTGGTACGGCTGATAAGGTTGTTTAAAGTGTTCGAATGGTGCTCCGAAGGGCTTTGGAGGTACACTATTGTATCCGAACGCTGACTTGAATTGGTCTCCTTGATAATGCTATTTACAATTACAAACGTAAGTATTTTTTTTACATAAAATAATTAGCATTTAATTTACTTGGTTAGTCAGTGTAGAAAATGGTTTTATGGTTGGCTTTATTTGTCCAGCTAACTCATAAGTACTACCATAGTTGGCTACACTTAAGACAGTTAACCCCAACACAATGGTCAACTGAAAAATATAATATAACAATCATTAATATATTGTGTTAATATTTGTTTCATTTTAAAAACTAAATTATTTAGTAGACACATAATACGTCAAATGTACATATGTTTTCGATTTACTAAGTATAGATATAGTTACTAGGTAGTATCTACCTATTATAATATACAAGTAATAGATTTTTTAACCAAATATTATTTTAGAATTTAGATACCTACAATGGAAAAAAACGGAAGTTGCAAGTTGAAAGTAAAATGTATAGAACTCATTAATCGAACATAAATATTATACATTACGAAGTATGCAGAATATTATAAATAACTGAATACGTATTTTTTTTTTATATCATAACTTTTGAAATTTGAAAAAATTGAATTTTTTGTTCTTCTAATCAATTCAATACTAAAATATGCATACTGTTATATTTAATTAAATAATTTAATATGTACCTCCCCACCTAGTGCCAACCAGTATGTCTAAAAATAAATAAATTAACATATTTATTTAAATTTTATTTAATTATTAGCTATGTACCTACGTCATACATGCATGCATACATAAACTCAATTTAATTGACCACCTATAATAGTGGTGCGTTCCAAGAAGATAATATTAAATAATTCGAATGTTCAAGGTGAAAACATTATCTTTTGTACAGATACAATAACATTTTTTTATAACCTGTATGGATAATTCCAGGATAATAGTGACAGTACCTACTGCACTATACAAGAGCATAAGCGGTTTTACCGGAAACTGGTCTGACTAATATTTTGATATTCTGCCAGATGGTTTAGCCAATTTTACAAAAGTTAAAACAAAAATACAAATTTAATTGTTCAAAAAAAAATATGCATAATTTGCTCTTAAATCAAATCATGAAAATAAAATTCATTTATACGTAGAAAACTGTTACTTTTTTATAATTATTTATAAAATATAAACGTCCGTGGAGGCTCAAGTACAGTGTATACTCTGTAATATGTTTAAGATAAATGTTAAATTTGTTACACTATTGAAATAAGTAAGTAACTAATTATATACTTTTAATACAACGATTGATGGTCATAAATAAATTCATAGACACACTAAACCATATAACACCTATATTACACAATTTACACGATTTCATCAACAATGTACTTAATAAGTAGTAAATGTATCTTTTATAACGTTAAAAAATATTAATTGCAAAGGTCATAAAAAACATATCATAGTTTCAACATAATTTACCTAGTTATCATTTTTCGATTAGTTTTACATAATATGTACCTACCCAGGTAATTTCAAAGTCATTAAATAATTTAATTAGATTTTTTGTTATTGGACAACAAAGCGAGAGTTGTGAACAAATTACCATACAAACAATGGACCTGTGATAGTCTAATAAAAGTCTAGAACAGTAATATGATATTGATATATTGATACACGCAACTAGATTTGATCAACTTCATATATTTTTAATTTTTATCAAGGTAATTTCGTTTAAAATAATTCAGGATACAAACATGGTGTATGTTATTATTATGTATGAGGTATACTTCATAATAGCAATAATTGCCGATTGGAATAGTGATTATTATAACTTAATTTCTCAAGTGCAATCTACATAAAATATAGTAAGTATGTATATGAACTTGTAAGTTATAAATGTATTATTATTTCGAATATCTGCTGTATCACAGTAACAATATAAATGTGTATCAATTACGTAAAGTATAATTGAAGGCAATCTTATTATTTTGATCCCACATAGGGTGTTAACTCGTTGCGATGTTATAGTCATTTTTTCTATAAATTGACGTCACAATAATATGTATCTTATTACATCATAACATTATTTTTGCATATATTATTAATTGTTCCATAAATTATTTGTTCACATCAATACCATAATATTATAATACCTTGTTTCCTCGTGATACTGGATGTAACCTAAACACATTTTAAAGTAGGTATACAGTGTGTGTTTTAGAAGGAGTGAACATATTATTTTAATATTTTTTTATTATTAAAATGTATTCATATAAATTACATAAAAAATCGATAGCAAAAAAAAAAATGAAGATGTTACGCGAGTTCTACGCGACTAGTATGTAAATTTAGATCATGTCAACATTTTTATGCGAAGAATATCCATTATGTCCATAGGTTACTATGTTAAATGTAATTCGGACAAGGATAAATACAATGGCCGTCCAGACACGTTTTATGGAAACACACGAAGTCTGCCTGTTTTTCTCGTAGTATTTTTCTGGGTTGGTGTCGCGTGATTATGATATTTTAAATTTAATGTTATCAGACAGAACCTTGTCCTTGGTGTGGGTAAACCTAAAATCGCAATTAAACGAAAGCAAATTGGTTTAGGAAGTGAATAGATAGAAAAAAAATACATAAACTCTATTCAATCAACTGAATCGCTACAACGTTGTCGGCGTGCCAAAGTGTTTTTACAATATAGCACAGTTGATAGAAAGGCGAAAAAAAAACAATTTTACGTTGAGCGTTTGAACATATTTTATACATCGACCAGAATTAATTAATTGGTACTTTGTTCACACAATTAGGATGAATCCGAATAAAAATTCCATATTACAGTGCTTGATATACTATTTCATTTGAAACATGCGCTAACAACCATCGAAGAAGTCATGATATTATTCCGTTTTACGTGCAGAATAATAATTGTATTAAGCTCCCCAAAAATAATAATGTCAATAAGAATAGACATGTTATCATTTGTCCCTTCATTCGTGTATAGGAAACAATTAAGTACCGAAGTGTTTTAACATACTTCTTATGCAGCGAGCCAATATTTTTTAAATGTTTAAAAAATGTCACGTCACTGACCACCATACGAGACGCGTCTACATAATAATACACAAAGGTGCTTTTGACACGCTTTTTTGCCAGTGTCGAGGCAGGTGTTTTGCCAACACTGTCGAACGTTTTATTTTCAAACTGTCTGTCATCGTCCATCGATGTCAAACAAAAACGTTTATCGACTATCAAGTCCAAAGAGTTGAAGAGTACTATATAGACGTGTACGCTGATTTTTTTTTGGCATAGCTTTTCATCCATCACATTCATCGTCTTAGAATTATTGCGAATAAATGTTCACCTTCTGACGATAGAAAGGTAACAAATTTGCTTTATTTCCCCCTTGCGGATAGAATTACGTTAAAAGTAGGAATGTAACTAATACACGCATTTTAGACGCATTTCATTCGGTTACATTTCACTTCCATTCTTCTTTTGAAAAATTCAATTGTTATTGATCAATAAATAAAACCATATTGTTAATTACAACGAGTCTACATTGCAGACTATGTTACCTAACATTTTATCCGTTTTAATAAGTGTCTATTTCATATATAATTATACATATAGGTAACTTACATAATGAGTAATTACCATATTTTATGATTATAATTAAAAGAATATTGTGTTTAAATTATTTTGAAATCTATAACTATCCAGTATTAAGAAATTTTAATTTTTAACAATGTAGTGAGTTACCTATATCATAGGATTAATATTATGATTCGTATGATTGATGTATGTTTTCATTCAAATAAACAATTGACTATATCGGTCGTTAAATCCATTAAGCGTCACCTTAAATGGCTTATTTCACTTAGGTAGTTTAAAATTATTTATATTTATACAAATTTGAAAATAAAATAAATATAGATTTTTAAATCTATAGTGTTTGGATATAATGTACTATTTAGTTTACAATTAATAATAAACTATTTCTACACTGGATTATATGACCGTTATATGTAGCCATGCTCATTGCATCTTTATGAAATGTATACAAATATTTAAATATAAATATAAATAACTCGCTGATAATAATTTTTTTTTAAGTTGGTTTTATCGTTAATTTCAAGGATTATTTTAAAAGATTTTTTAAATTTGAAATTATTTCGGTGATACCTAACTACCTACCTGCTGTTTATATATTTTATTTATTTTATTTTTTAGAAGCTGTAAAATAGCACACAACCACGAAAATGATAATCTTTCTAGTCGGACTTCCTAGATCTTCCCCACACATTTACCGTGAACCTAATAATATGTATATTATACTATATACACGTAGGAGTAATCATAATTCATTGCCGTGACGCCTTAACATGTATAAGGCGTTGCCCAACAAGAAATACTTGTTGAAAACACATCGATTTAGTTCATATTATAATGGTCGATCATACAATGAATTCAGTTTTATTTAGATAACCAACCACATACGAATTGCTCATTGAATACTAAGCGTGTTATTATCTATTAAATATACAGGTACTAGACTTGATCGATTGTGACTAGTTAGTAAGAATAATAAATAATCTTTTTCAAAGTGATTCTGAAGATCTTATAATATTATGTTGATTCAAAGGACGTTGGATTTCAAAATGACAGAGACCTACTTTGAGAAATTATTTTCCTGCAGACCGCAGGGCGCAGTCTAATGATTGAGATTTTGACTTTTTTCGATTCTTTTATATTGTTGACCTTACATTCAGAGGTCTGACTATCATTATTGTTACTCGTTGTGAGGTTCGCTGAACTGAGAATGATCGTTTCATAACAAGATATTATATTTAGTTATATGAATATTATCCACCAACGCTTTCGTGATGACCATACAAGATATATAATGAGGTGCGTTGCTAAAGTTGATGATATCGACTATGTGGGTCATATATGTTCCAAACATTTAATGAATTAAAAATATTTTACATAATAATACGAAATGTTAAATTTTTACATTATTAAATGTGGCAAATTCCCAATATTTTAATATATGCATTAAAAAACATCCATCGAAAATTTATTGGATTACCATAGAACGGTTTTCATAATAATCTAATAACACATCAACAAATTAAAATTCTTTTTTAGTTGTTTGAAATTGTTCTTAACTTACAAAATACTTAATCATTATTTCGAAACGGAGATCTGAGTACCTATAACGTTTAGTTTAAAAAATAACACAGTAGAAAATAAAAAATATTGTGTGAATTGCCTACCTATTTATAACTATAATATTGCCAAACTTTTATAAAAACAAAATGTATTTAGTAAGGTTTGATAGTAATACCTATTTTATAAATTATATGTTCGTATCAAACATATAAACTCGTCGCGCATTACTTATTATTCTTAAAATAATTATAATCGGTGAATTGCACTCATTATATTGAATTATGAACTTTCTAAACACTAACTAGCACATTTCAATGCCTATTTTTTTTTCTAATAATAAACAATAGTTTAATATCATACAATTATAACAAGTTATGTACTTATAATTGTTACACTCGTTAATTAAGTTTTTTTTCAACATTACGAAACATATTAACAAATGCGTATTATAAATATTAATATCAAAGTGTTTAATTAAAACATGGAAGACTTAATTTTTTAATCAATTTATTAAGACATCAGTTTTGGCTAATATTTATATTATATTAAATATTAAATTTAAATTTATATTTCATTTTAAGTGGTACCTATCTATTTTCTTTAGAAACAATAAATAAAGAAAAAATATAGTATTTCAAACATTCGTAATGTCAAGTTATAGTTATTGATGTATTTGAAATCAGAGTTCTATCGATTTACTACGCCTTTGTCCAACACAAATCTTATTATTTTATCCTATTTTAGTAGATATTTATGTGTTATTAGTGGTGGTAGAAAAAATATTATGGGTATTACAATGTATATTGTATTTATAAGTAGACATTTTGTTCAAAGATTAAACATATATAGATAACCATGGCAATATGTTTTTCATATGTATACATTCTCTCTAGCCCTTAACCGTAAGCATAAGGTGTAATGTATATTGCAAAAAACTTTTAAAAAAATAAACAACAGTTAACCCATAACCCACATAACATTGGCTTTGGTGATTTATTGTTTAGATATGTACTACCTTTTACTTTATGCAAATACATGTAAATAGATTAAAAATAATCGCGATTAAAATGAATAACTCGTTCTAAAGTTATTATAGCTGTGTAAGCTCTAAGAAATCGGTCAAAGCTGAACTTTACGCAATGAGTATCCACAATTTTTCAAGACAACTGCTTAAGGACATCGATTTTTAAGTAAAAGAAATCGCAATTAAATGTTATGGTTATTATCCGCATTTTTGTATGGTAGAAGGTACCTATATTATAGGTAAGTGCATTGTCAAATGTAAAGTTAAAATCTGTACCGTCTAAAATTGTGTTGATGTACACCGAATCAATACATGGTTGATAGTATACATTACAGTACTGTACATAATATAATGTAAATTCGAATGGGAGTCTTCGAAAATGTATTGCAATGAAAAAAATATTATGTCAAAGTAGAGTATTATATTATTATTGTTTTAGTAATTTTTTTTTTAATCTCGTCCAAATAGACGTAATAATATAATATAATAATAATATAATACTTTCAGACATAATATTTTTTTTTTTTGCAATACATTTTCAAAGACTCCGATTCGAATTTACATTATATTATGTATAGTAGTGTAGTGTATACTATCAACTATGTATTGATTCGGTAAAATAATAGAATAGTTTTCTTTTTTTGTCATTATTTCGGTTTCGTATATCCATAGTAAAATAGTAAAATATCGTCTGAGTATAATATTATATAATTTTAGACGTACTACTCGTATCACCTATTTAATGTCATGTTTATTATAATAAGTATTATATTATTATTATTAATATATAATTCAGGTGACGGTTAAAGGAAAATACTTACTGCCATCGCGAAGAAGTCCACTGGAGACTTTGACGGAAAATAAATAAAAACAAATGCGAACGCGGTCCACGTTCAGCACCACACGCAATTGTCTCCGGATAGGAATTGAAAATTATTTAATACCGGTTTTTGTTTATATAGGCACGGCTGTAAACAGGTAAGGAAACAATAACATATATATATAATGTTATCGTAAAAAAACTCGCGTTCGCTCACTCACTCACACACTCGCTCACGCAAATACACAACGCACACACACACACACACACACACACACACACGCACACACGCACACGCGCACTCGTGCAGACGAGAGTGAGATGGCGTACCGGTAGGGAGATTTTGTGCGATGCTGTGTGTGTGTGTGTGTGTGTGTGTGTGTGTGTGTGTGTGTGTATCGTGGTGGCGTTCTAGCTATTATGTATATTATTCCTCAGCAACGGTCTCGACGAGACAAGGACACTTATATGGCATATTATCGTACATTATTTTACAATACTATTAGTAGTAGTAGCAGGTATAATGATAATTATTATTATCATGTCTGCGAAGGAAAAAGACGATCGACGACGATGACAATATGCAACGACGACTGCAGCATTATAGGCATATCGGTAGTATTGTATACCAGTCGACACCTGTACGATTTGTTCTATGCATCGATAATTAATTAATTATTACCTAGGTATTTCGTGCCTATGACGTAGGCGATTGGCCTTTTTTCACCCGACCATTGAGATCGCTGCTGCATGTCATCATTGTTCTTTAATCGCGTCCTGCGTCGTATACTTACCTATATATTATTTTTAATTTTACCATAAAGTCCACCGTCGGAGAAAAGTACGAAATCTCACAAGTTCCCCAGCCGTAGCCTATCATCGTCAGTATTTTATTTTATTTTGCCTCACAAACGCATTTAAAAACTAAACACACTATTATATTTTAAGTTTTCGAAAAGTATAATACGTCATAGCCATTATCGCAATGCGTAGAGGTATATTTCCCAATGAAATTATTGTTCAAATATTATTCGACTAAAGTATGTAAATATTGAATTTACTTTTTCCATTTTTTTTTTTTTTGCAGGTAGTGTCATCTAAACAAAACCTTCACATTCTTGATGGATCAGATTTGTTGTGTCTAGAGTGTTTAGACTAATAAATCAAGAAAAATAAAAATAAATTTAAAATATAAAAATATTTTAAATATTTGGTTGACATTGAAATTGTTATTTGTGTGTGGTTATAAGAAAAACAATGAGTGTTCAATTTGTAACATTTAAGTTATAAACGATTCAATGTCTTGAAGTATATCAAATAAAAATATTGAAATCATATACCCTAAAGGTGGAAACAAGTTGACTCATGGAAAATATTCTAACTCTCTAATATGAACTTAATGATAATTTAATTTCATGGTCAAAACTGATAATATATTTTATAGAACTAATAGTGGCATAGAAGGAAGTTATAGATTTAAATGAAATAGTAAGATAATCCTACATACCTAGGCTATTATAGTTTTCAATTTTATTTTACAAAAACAATAGATGTTGATTGACAATAAATTACAATGACGAACAATAATTATTGGAATAATTTTATACTCCGGTCCCTGCTTTGTATTTTTTAAAATCTGATTGATGTTTGATCATAATATCTGGAGAAATGTATTTAATTTTTGATGAATGATTCAATGAGAGTAATATGAATACAAATATTGTTTATTCAAGTTTATTCCAGTATGTTATATAAATTTCTAAAAAATATTTAGAACAATAATGTGTATTGTAATTTATTCGAAGGACTTGAACAATTAAAAGCAATATACTCGTATTTACAGGGATGTCTAAATAAAAGTTTTAGTAATAATTTAAAATAGTCGTCAACCTTTTCATTTAAATATATTATATTGTCTGTAAATCCTTGACAACTTATCTATAACTATTTTTACGATACAATACAATTTATAATATTTTTTTTTTTTGAAAATGTCAAAAGTGATTTAAATCAAATATGTTTTTAATTTATTATACCACATATGGGTTTATAAAATTTATATTTTTCCGAACATACACAGTAATAATAATAATTGTCTAATGACGGATATGGCCAACACTTTTGGATTGCGTGTTCTATCATTGGAAGTGATCAATAAACATCTTTCACGGGCAAATTTGTGCAAGTTTGTACTTTTTATGGGATACGTGTAATTTTAATTTAGTATAATATATTATATTATTATCTTAATTTCGTATAGGTACTTACGACGAAAACAAAATAATATTGATGATCATATTCATATTATATATATTATGTTGAACACGCTGTTACATACAATAACTCATATAGATTTAAATTTTGAACATATATATATATATATATGTTTAAAAACCAGTTTTACCCAAAGATGTTATCGTCATTCCCTGTAATAATATTCACCAACATTTTATTATTTTTTTTAGTTATAAACTTAAACACCCAAATTAAGAAAAATAAATTGCACAACACCTAAATATTAGTTTTTATCCGGTGTTAATAAGAAACGTTAATACCCGAACTTGCAACTATTATAGTATACAATAAAATCAATAAATTATTAAAATTGTAATATGTTTTAAAAATACGAATACCTATGCTATGATTTATTAATACACTCAACAGACTTACTGAAAAATAAAAATACATTATCATCATATAATTCATAAATGATCACTATTTTTTAATTATAATCTATAATTTAATTTTGTGAGGATAAAAAAATATTGGTTATATTGGTTTATGATATCTTACTATAATTCTTAATGAATAAATACTTTACACATTATAATTTAACATTTTATCACTATAGTATAATATAGAATGCTATATATTTTAGTGAATATTGTGTTAGTATAAGTTACAAAAATAATTTAAAATTGTATTTTGGTATTTTAGGCTGTTTTAAAATAACTTAAGTATTAATTAGTTTATAAAAAAAAATATTATTATTGCCATTAATACCTACTACCTATATAATTTATAACACTGAGGTATAACCGACTTTAAAAAAAGAAGTCAAATGAAAATGTTTCATCCGCAGTCCAGATATATGTTGCAAATTTGCTCTTTAAAAAAACACGTCGAATACCTAATGCAGTTGAAGTTGATGGTAAAAATAATTACATTTATTGTAACCAGTATTTTTTTTTTTGGATGAAAAATAACAAGTTTTTTAATTAATTCGTAATTTAATATAATATTTTCTTGCTCGATATTACATATTATATTTACATTATTTTCCTTAGATATATTATAATGTTACACACGATTTGGTAAGACTTACATACAAAATGAAATATATAATTCATGTTTAAAAATCCCAATGCAAGTTCAAGGTTGTTAATGGTATGTTCTAACTAAAATCACTGTAATAACTCATAAGAGTCGTACCTACGAATCTACAGTAGGTAGCTCATAGAAAGGAAATTGATTTCCATTGGTTGTCATTGTTATTTGCAGTATTTCATTCAATACTTTAATTAACGTACCCATCTACACACATTGGTTATTTTCTAATTGTATTTTTTTAGGTGATCGCTAAAAATGTTTTTTTTAAGCCCATGAAAAATCTCAAACTTATTCCTAAAATGACAATAAATTTATATTAATTTAACCCAACTAATATAATCTATTTACAGCAGAAAGTCGTCTTAATTTTAAGTTTAACTGGCATTTGATTTCAATTAATTATCTCGAATTATAATAGCTTATATATTTTGTAATATTTCAATACGAATGTGTTTATTTAATTAATGTTCAATAATATCTATGGTGGCAGCAGAGACCGGTTTTGATGTTACAATTATTATTCTCATGCGTACCTATATAATAAATTATGAATAATTAAATCAAATTACATATTTTTCCAGAACTCAAATATTTACTGTAATATTAGGTACCTAGGTAGCATGTACCAACAGTATGTTTACTTATTTTCGACGTTAAGGTCAAATCTGAAATCACTACTCCGGAAACCACTATTGTAGTTTCAGATTAATACCCATGATTCATATTTGTCGAGTGTGCTATAGAGACCATATACTACTTTAACATTTAGTACAACCTCATGTTTATTTTATATTATAGTTGTACAGTTATACACATTATATAAATAGACACATTTTCATTTTTCATCTTGCAGTATACTTAATACTGTTTTTGTTTACATTTTTTTTGTTAGACTTTAGGTGTTCACATCTTGTCGCGTCGTGTCATGTTTTTAATGACGGTGTGCCTTCGTTTCGTACGTTTTCATAGAAAAAGCACTGATGGCAGTGGCATATCTATCTACAGAGGGAGGAAGGATATGCAACAATACAACATGTCATGTGTATAAAATAATATGAATGTATTATGTGTATACTGAATATATATATATATTAAAATCTTTATACCCCCCCCCCCCCCCTCAAAATTCTAGATACTTTCATTACGCACGATATTAAAATCCTTTTCCATTATAATTTTGATGTACCTGATGCTTTTATTTATAATTATTTTTTACTTTTGGCACATAATAGTAATCACGTGGTCAAAAGTTGAATACATTTGAACTATGCTATATAGCGTTTGGTATACCATAATGGANATGTGTATACTGAATATATATATATATTAAAATCTTTATACCCCCCCCCCCCCGTTCAAAATTCTAGATACTTTACTGACGTACGATATCAAAATCCTCATCGATTATATGAATGTTGTACCTGATGCTATAATTTATTATTATTTTTTACTTTTGGCACATAATAGTAATCACGTGGTCAAAAGTTGAATACATTTGAACTATGCTATATAGCGTTTGGTATACCATAATGGAATCACGTGGCTCAGCCAATAAGAGAAAATTATTTTCACGATACTACACGACATGGTGTAGTATGAACCCCCCTTTAATGGTTACTATATGGCATATGTAGTAAATACGAACTACCAAGTATTGAAAACAGTACGTCAATACCGCTCTATCATCTAAGAGTTGGTATAAATCCAATTGACTTAAAACATATTATATAATATGAGCTCATGTACTAATTATTTTAATCGTACAATCAAGTATAACTTAATTCTTTATTTGTACCGTGAAA